AATCAAGAGTTTTGAAAAGTGTCATTTTACTGAGACTTTGAATGAAAACAAGTGAAATGATCAGTGACGCGCAAAACAATTCTTTGTTTTCGTCCTCCTGTCAATTAGCAATGAGAACAGCTCTCCAACTCATTCAAAATCAATTAAAATGGCTTAGAAGAATAGTATTATTCTTCACAAGGTGTCACACCTCTTTTCCAGCGTAACTTTCAGTAGTCGTAGCGTGCTGTAGATAAAGTATGGCGAAGATTTGAAATCTGTCTGTTGTAGCGCCTCGACGGACTTTTTTAACTCAACACAATTTCAATTGAATTGTATCCACCGCTTTCTTATACAGGTGCGAAACAATGTAAAAAAATGAAACACAAACTCGTTCTGTTTTACTTACACCTTTTACTTTAACACATCTCGGTTCAATTGTATCGGTCAGACTATCTGGCCATTTAATTAAATCCGTCAACAAATAATCACCTGGCAGAATATCATCAATGTTCGTACCAATTTCCATCACTATATCACCTCTTGAACCATAACGCAGGAAATTATTGAATGTTGACCATTGTTTATTGATAAACTGTGTGACACCACCCAATGAACATTTGCCTTCTCTTTCTGCCTTCAGCAGTGCAACGAATAACGCAAACTTTGCTTGAGCTGTTGGGTTTGCCAGTGGAGTGTAGGAAACTCCAGCTACTTGTGCAGCGGCGATATGTCGAGGTGCCTGTTGTGATACTTTGAGAATATCAGGATCTTTACCTTGAATTAGATTTGAGAAAAATTGAAAAAAATGCTGAAATTTTAAACGCCCCTCATGATCCTGGTCAATATCTTCAAAGATCTGACGTAGTTGAGTTTCTTTCAATGTTGTTAAACTTAAGCGTTGCAGAAAGTTTTTAAATCGATCATATCCCAGATATCCCGTTCCACCTTCAAATTCTAAAAATATTACTTTTAATCTCTCTTCCAGTCTTTCTATCTTTTTGTAATCTATACGATCAGGAACTTCGTTTGTTATTTTACTAAATGAAAATTAGGATTCCTTTGGTAGACGCAGAACAACGGCATACCTTTTCACGCAATGTTATACTTACAAGAGTTTTTCTCTTGCACTGATGAACGTTTCCTGATCGTTTTTGTACGATATTAGATTAACTAATAAGTCCAGCGTGCCATAATTTTCTCTAATAAGGGTAGCACCATCAACTTGGTTAACTAGAGTGAGTATGCAAAATGTGAACGAATACAATCGAAAAATCAAACAAAATGAATCTTCTTACCCAGAAATACTTCACAGCAGTTCTGTAGGCCATTTGTTGCTAACCACGAACAGACATTTTCAACTGTCCATGACTCAACGTCCTATTCAGAGAAATGTAGACGACAAGTTTTTGTGGTTATGCTAAAGTTACTAGCACTAACTCGATAATTAATAATTTCACTGTCTTCTGTATGAACAGTTGTGTTCTGTGCAACCATTATTTGTTGTTGTTATTATTGTTAAATCCGGACCGTGTTCGAAACCAAAATCAGTAATTAACGAATCAGCACCATCAAAAGAACAAATTTTCACAGCTATAAATAAAGTTTAAGGACAGATATAACGTCAGGACCAGATTAGACACCAGCTTGTTTTTTGAAAGAGTGTGTGTTAGAACTTTAGATTTTATTCACCATTTATTCTGTTTGTCTATTGGTCGTTATTCCTCTACATAAAAAGGGACCGAAGGCGCAAGTTGAAAAGTACAGGCCAGTTTTACTTCTTTCTATTCTGAATAAAATTCTTAAACTTTTATTTACGACCAGTTGTTTACTTATTTTTTCAAACACAAATTTTTCTCTAAAGTTCAACTCGGTTTTAGACCACAGTCAAGCACTGCAGATGCTCTTCTCTATTTAACACATACAATATACATATCAACCTATACGCGTGTTTTTCTTGAAGTATTGCCAACCTGGAACTAGTGGGCTTTTGTAGCGCATGGTCGACTGAGTGGATCGATACTAGTTTGGCTCCGACGTATGGCCGACACTCCAGCAAAAAAATTAAACAACATTTGCAGCGTAATAAAGGAGAATAATAATAAAAATTAAGCGCTGACGAGTTTGTTAGGAAGTATAAACTAAATCTCATATCAGCAGTCATCTTTCAATATACGTATTCTTATCGTCACTCGATGGTTATTTTCCCTTCTGTTCTTCTGATATATGTATTCACTCTTCTGCTCTTTTATGATATATATTTTCTCTTTCTGTTCACTCTTTCCCATGAGTATTTTTCATTCCTATTCGTCTTTCTCTCTCGCTCTCTTGCTCTCACTCTCTTGCTCTCGCTCTCTTTCTCTTGCACAATAGCTGTTTTTCCCAGTTTCCCAAAGGGATCTTCCTGTAGTTAAAATATACTATATATAGATGTTAATTTACTGAAATAAAGTGTGTGTAACAGTTACATTCTTCTTTGGCTATTAACCATTGGATGCAAAACGAT